GTTTGCGGTCACAGGGAGATAACTCTAGTTGAAATCTCCGATTCATTTGAGCGCTTGATTACGGTGTTGTTGCTAACATAAACATTCTGATACTGATCGTCGATCGTCTGCAAAATGTTAAGATCTAAAAAAGGAAAATTTCAGTCTAAACAATCTTTTCTTAAACAATTGAAAGCCAAAGAGTCGAAAAGCAATTCATTGGTAAGTCACCCCGTTGATGAGCCAACAAAAGAAGACCACAACTATGATGTAAACACTGGATCGGTGCTCTCGGATCTCGAACTTGGGGCAAGTTGTACAGTTGACCCAGCACGAGATGACAGCTGGAAGACGGGTAGACGAATAGTCGAGCTACACTCCTTAGCCCAACAGATGTATTGCATCTCGTGTGATTCTCGACTACACCTGAGCGACATTGAGAGCGAGAGAAGATATGGACTAGGTAGCATACTATTCATACGATGCCAGAACAGTGTGTGCAGTTCACTGAATGATGTCAAAACTGGAAAAAGAAACAACGGAACATTTGACATCAATTCCAAACTAGCACTAGGTAATCCCAATGTTTTTATGTTTAGATTTCAATACCATACAAAAAAAAATCTGAAAACAGTATTTGGAACCAATTATGTAACTTAGGGGTTGGTGTTATGTGGATTTTTTTTAATTCAGTTTTGCAAATAAAATATATTCTGTTTCGACTTTGTAAGAAAAATTATTGATTGTAGATTTACAGTAGTTGGAGGGGGGGAAAATGTAAGCCAGTTAAATGGTTGTCTTCAAAGTCCCAAGAATAAAAACATCCTGCACCCACATATATACAAAAAGAATGGTTGGTACATTCTAAATACCCCATTCTTTTTAATGAATTTAAATTGAAAAAACTTCAGCAAATTACATTAAAATGTAGACATTGTACTTGATGCCAGAAAAATATTGCTTTCAAGTTCCAATAAAAACTAGTTTCATATAACAGACTTTTTGCTATTACGGCAGTTTATTTTTTGGCTCAAAAATTTATCAATTTTTCTCCTGTCTGAGGCCAAGTTTTTTTCTTCATTTCTTAGCAGGCCAGAATATACTTTTTCCAAAAACACCCCTAATTTGATTTCTTATTCAACTAGTAATTGTATGACAAGCTTGAGTGATTTTTTAGCTCATTGAATAAGAATTATTAGGACAATGTTCATGTACATTCATTAACTTCTCGTCAAATTCTTGAACTTAAAAATGAATTTGACAATTATAATTTTAATAATTGATTGATATTTCTGTTGATACATTTAATGTACTTAAAAATGTGACTGTTCCATGAAGAAATTGTTCTTATTAATATGTTTGCAATTTTTTAGCCATGATACACACAGGAATGGGCCCAGTGCAAGTAAACAACCTGCTGGCAACTCTAAATTTACCACCAGTTGTACCGTCCACTCTCAAGAGAAGGGAACACAAGATTGACACAACCCTGGAGACCATTGCAAAAAAATCATGTCTTGATGCTCAAAAGGAAGAAATTGAAAAGGGAAATGGAAAGGTAAAAATGTATACATATACTTTAGGAAATTAAGCAACTCAAATTTCCAATGACTATATATACATTCATGAAGTCATTTTTATATTTTAATGCAAAGTAATTATATTTTCTTTATTTAAAGGGGGAACATGACAGGGATGAAAATTAAGAATTTCAATAAAGTACATCAGTTCATATTTTCGGTAGCCCAAGTATTATATGAGCAACCAAAAACTGTGCAAAAAATTAGTAGCTCGGGGCAAACTTTTGATGCCATGTACCACTGGGCCCCTCCTTGTTTTCATTCCTGTGTCACGTCTCTACCCTGCACCTAAATCTGCTCATGTAAAAACAGTTTTGGGTTATTTGAAAAAATATACATGTTTGTGTTTCTTCTGGCCAATAGCCTAACAAATGGTGTGATTTTGAATGACTGAATTAGTCAGGGGGAAAATGTCAGTGCTTGTATTTGATAGACTTCTTCACCAGGTATTTTTATATACTACAGTATTAGGGATTTTGTGTCATAACCTGGAATATATTTTTTTTCATTATAAACATCAAATATGAGTATTTTTTGTAGTTTTTCCACTGATAAGTTTCACTTGATCATGCATACACTGCTTAATTTTTAATTGTTGAACATAACACAAATTGTTTAGTGTACATGTATTGAAGATATGTATGTATTTTTTTAAAGGTGGAAGTCAGCTTTGACGGTGGGTGGCAGAAAAGGGGTACAGGTTGGAATTAT